CACGCGGCCGTGGGGCTGTACCGGCTGGTGGAGCAGCAGCCCGGGGGCCGGGAGGTGCTGCAGTGCTGGGACGAGTGCGGGTAAGAGGGGAGCTGTGGGGCTGGGTGGGGGGCCAGCCTGCCCCGCAGGCACCGCACCGTCTAGCCCCACCGTGGGCGGCCGGTGGCTCTGGGCCGCAAGGGAAGGGTCGCCCTGACGCCGCCTTTCCCCAGCTAGTGCGAAGAAGGTGGTGGTGCAGGGCACGAATGCTGCCCACCTGATGGATCTCCAGGCCCTGGCGCTCAGCCTGGAACTGCCCACGTACCTGGTGCAGGATGCAGGGAGGACGCAGGTAACCGCACTGGGCAGGCCCCGTGCCTGTGGGGTGCGCGCCTCGTGCTCGCAGAGACGAGTTTCCCAGAGCTGAGCACGGCCTGGGGGAAAGGGTGCAGCCACGTGCATGATTACTCAAAGTCCGGAATGAAAACTTTACTACATGCTTAAAAAACCCGTATTCCCATGAATACAAGGAAGTCTTTGGATAAAGAAAGATCCTAGTTAATAGCTCTGAAACCATAAATAACTTTCAAAAATATGTGGGGCTGTGGGGAGCTGATACTGATGAGCTCCACTACAAACAAGCAGTTGTAGGATGCAGGCCTTGGTGTAAGGAAAGCTTCAAGGCAGCAACAAAGAAGCAGCTGCATCTTGCAAGGGGGCAGGGAATATGAGAAGGAACCTTTCAAATAAGCAGGAGCAGAAAAGCTTCTAGCAACGATATAGATGGTGTTTGTTGGCAATTATACCGCTAACGAACAACTAAGAAGGCAAAATTGCCCAGTATCGGAGCCAGGGAACAGCTGGGTGACTTGTCTGCATCCCACCCTGATGACAGAAGCAGTTCCCATTCCAGCACGTACAAACTAGTTTGGCAGTGGCCGTTTAAACACTGGCCTAAAGCCTGGCGAGAGGTATCCTGCTCCAGGAGCTGGAAGAAGAGTTGCTCAAGCCGTTGCTGCTGAGAGCAAATGGGCTGTGGAGTGTTCTGGACCTTCCACAGAACCGAGAAACGCGCTGATACTGGGGGATGAAATGATGACCCTGATAACGACAAGGGTAGGATAGAAGTAACAATTTATAGTAACAAAGGCTAGTAGTAACAACATCAACATGGTTTCACAGGTAATGGGGTTTGTGATGTGTTTTAACAGGCTTATTATCTCAGAGAAGTGTTGACAGGCTTTAAGTTGTAAGGCACTTGGCTTAATACCACAGGCCATTCTCCAAAAAATATATACAGCAATTCAGCACATGTTAAACGGATTAAAAACCAAGAGCGGCCGTGTGCTGTCAAATTGTCTGGAAAGAAGGGAACCGTTGGGGATGTACAGCCGTACAGTATCTTGATCGATGGTCTGGGCTGAAGTTCTTTAAAATTGGTCTCAGTCCCGGAGCCGGGAGGTCCTTTCCCGTGGGACGTTCCAGAATCTCCTCGGCTGCAGGGGCCGAGAGGGATGGCTGTTTTGGAAAGCAGCGACTGAAGGGAATTCAGGGCCCACGTTGAGTCCTTATGGCTGAGAGCTAACATGATCCAAACACACAGAGTCCGGGTCGGGGACTGATGACAGGAGCGTGCGCTAACTCTATACAGTGCTGATCAGACCACTAGTAAGTGGCCATTTGGGGATGAGACCTCTACCAATACAGGGTGCCTTGATCTCCCAGACAGAGGCAGGCCATGATGCTGTGGCTGGAGGTAGACTCTGATAAGAAATAAGATGCACCTTCTAGATAGGGAGGATAATTATTAGCCATTGCAGCCACTTACCTAGAGATATAGTGGACTCGATCGGCTGGATTCAGTCGGTAGACAGGAACTAAGTGTCTACCCTTGGTGTCACTGTTCTTGATGCAATGGCATTGTCCCCACTTCAGGTCCCAGCTGGATCATGCACTGTCCTTGCCATCTTGGGAGAAGAAGAAACAGTGAATAAAGTGACTGGGACGCTGCAGCTTCTAAACTGAAGGCAGCACCAGAGCTGCGTCCTGCCGTACGTGGCAATGGGCCATGAGAAGCACCCACTGGCATCGTCTCTGGCTCTCAGGAACCAGACAGCAGTTCCCTTTTCTGCCTGCTGGCACTGTTATGGGAAATGAGGCTGGGGTGAGGAAACAGGGTCTCGGCTTCTGCTTGAGGTAGGAGGTCTTGTTAGCCCTGGACTCCAAGAAGTGGTATTCCACCCTTTGTATCACAGGTAGTGGAGGGGATGCTGCATAACCCTACCTCCCACTTCCCTCTGACAGACCAGGCTTGTACTGTCTGGGCCACGTATAAACAAGGTGCAATTCTGACATGCCTTGGCTTTCCTTTCCTTCCCTTCCCCCTGCAATGAAGCGCACAGCTCTGCTCAGTTCTCGCCCCGCCTTTCCTCAGTGTCTTGAAGCGCTGGAGTCTGACTGGAGTGCCTTGGGGACGACAGACCGCGTCACAGAGGGAAAAGTCTTGCTATCTGGGAAAGGGGGTGTCCCGTGCCCTGCTGCATGAAAAGGGCTGCAAGGAGTGAACAGCTCGGTAGATGAGGCTGGCTAGAGGTTCACGGGGAAGGTTTGGGGTTGACCTGGGGCGCAGCTGGGGTTGGAGGGCTGAAGCCTTTTGGATTTGGTGCATAAGCTGCCTCTGCAAGCTCCCCGCAGCAGTTTACCCCTGGACTGTCCAGCTCGGGTCTCGCTTGTACCGTTTACACCTCTGCCGCTAGCCCCCGGAGGCAAGATCGCGTGGCCGGTCTCCAGCAGGGCTGGAAACCTATCTGTTGCCACGGTACGGGATTGTGCTAGTCATAGATGTGGGGTTTGGAAGTGCAGAAAGCGTGCGTTTTTAAAGTGGGTTAAATATTTGACATTTCCAGGGAGGTGCGAAGACCTCTTCCTCTCCCACACCCGCTCGGGCCCTGGGATCCGGCTTGATCGCAGGACATCCGCCT